AATCTATGTATGCATGTGAACCGGTAGTCTATGAGGCCTAACTCTAGCCTATAGAGAGCTGACTCCGCGATGGTGTATCGACGGTTTGCTCATGTCTTTGTTGTATCGACAGTTTGCTCCTGTCTTTGTTGTATTGACAGGTAATCCGGTCTTTGTTGTATTGACGGGTTAGGTGTGATCACATGAGCGTAGGCTGTGTTTAGGGAGGATAGACTAGTCGATTTGTGTTCATGCTGCGATTATGATTTTAAGTCTTTATATTGATTATACTGCATGGTATTCCCACGGTGAGCAAGTGTTCGCTCACCCCCACTATTATATCTCTTTTCAGGCTGAGCTGGTGGTGGTGGCGAAAGACGAGAGGCGGGTTATATAATTGATATTGAACTGTATTATCTGCTTCCGCTCGTTTATTCAATATTTATCTAGTTGCCAGACATGTTTATTATTGAGATTGGAGACGAAACCGTATATTTGGTTTTTATGCATGCTAGACTATGAATTTGAATAATGATTATGGAATTATGAATTGGTATTATTCATATGATTAAATAATTGTCGAGGCATGTTATGATATGTTTTATCGGGATGGTTGTACTTCCCCGCGAGTTTAAATGTTGACTTAACTGTTGATTTGTGAAGTTGTTGAGTAGCGCCCGTTAAACAAGGTTTAAAAAATAATTTTTGAAAAATTTAACTCTGATTTTTTTTAGGAAAATAATTCGGTATTTTTCTATTAAAATAACGGGGCGTTACATCAAGTCACTGATAGGCTTTATATATATATATATATATATATATATACACACACGTGTGTATGTCATGGTCACCAAATGTGTATAGTGCATTTGTTTATATGTAATGTTCACCTTAAATGAACTATTGTGCATGCATACGTGATTGTATATCATTATTGTGCGTGCTCCTATTTTGTAACACTGCTCCTAATTTGAAACACTCGGATAGTAAAATACTCACTTCATTGTATATCGTGCACCCAACATTCAATAAGTCTAAGATTGTATTAATGTCGAACCAATGTAACCATAATGTAAATATAAAAAAACATTGTAATGCTTGGTAACAACCAATAAAGCAATTAAACTACATAACATGCTGTAATAAAAATTAACTAATGTCTTCACGCGCACGAGAGATGACCACATCATGTTGACGTCAATCGGTGTCTGCACGTGTAAACTCGTCGAAATTAGTACACGCACACGTACATGATTATTTTACAGTAGCATAAAGCATTATGTTAATTTGTAAATAATACATACAAGTCATGCATATAATACATATGAGTATTCTAATATACCTTATCGAAGCAATCATTCACAGCCAGTTGCATGTATCAATTACCTACAGTGGACATAGTAATTGTTAAAAAGAAAAAGAAAGAAAAATATATATTTATGTATACATGAACAAACAAGTCGTGAGTGCAAACACACAAAATAAAAAATAAAAAGTAAAAAATATACATATATAATATATATATATATAAGTGTAAATTCTGTTTGGATTGTGTGCACCTTCGTACGGTGTGAACGGTAGCGCCATATCATTGTTTTTTGGGGCAGGTTCGTGCATTGTGACTCGCTCTCTCACCACACGTCTTGCATATACGTCTCTTACTCTGCGACTGTTCAATTGATTTCTCTTTGTCACTGTTCAATCGCTTCCCGCTTCCTTTGTTTTTCGATTGTGTCGGAGGCTGTATGTGTATTTCCTGTGGGGCAGACATACCAACAAACGACTCAAAACTTTGTTCCTTGTCGGTCTTGTCCGAACCACCCTCTTCCTCGATTAAGATCTTGTGCTTGTGGTCCCCGACGAGTTTGAAAAACTCAACAATTAGGTCCATTCGCACTTCAACCAATCCCATGCAAACGTGTATGTCCGACCATAGCTTATTCATCATGAATTTCTTATCGTCTATTTGTGCGCACTGCTCTGAAATGTTGTTGATAACACAAAACATAGAATTCCTAACTGCAAGTTTTGTCCACCTCGGCATGACGTGTGCAGGGGGAATATCCTCTAAGGTCCTTCAAGACGACAAAAACATGTCGACACAACCACCCATACATTTCAAAGTGCTTGCAGGGCATTGACATGATTTCAAACCAACATTGTATACTACTGTAAATGATTTCCCATCAATGTCATTTATCACAAATGTCAGCTCACCTTCACTTTCAGAAAATTCCATTACTC